ATGATGAGGGAGAGGAGTTCCTGAAGCATTAGGAAGGGTTGGGATGGGCTGGTTTGGAAGCCCCAGAAGGTCGTGTGGATTGTTTGGGAATGTCCCAGCAGGGAGAGGGGACAGTGAGGACAGGAGGGTAGCTGAGCTGCTCCAGGTGGGAGCACGAGCCCTGCTGTGTCTGACCCRCTCTTGTCCCCGCAGTGCACGCCCAGAAGCAGAACCGCCAGACGTGCGTGCGCAAGAGCCTTATCTGCGCCTTCGCCATGGCCTTCATCATCAGCGTGATGCTGATCGCCGCCAACCAGATCCTGCGCAGCGGCATGGAATAGCCCTGGCAGCGGCGTGGAATCGTCCTGGCAGCGGGATGGAATCGTCCTGGCAGCAGGATGGAATTGTCCTGGCAGCGGGACGCCRGCCATGCATGCGCACCCCGGGAGAGCTCCCGCCCCGACTCCCACGGCACCGACACGCGGGCACAGTGGGCGCCTGCAGCAGGAGCCCGAGCCAGCAGCGTGTCCTGTGAACAACCACATCCTTTTGGCAGGGACATCAAAGGGCTGTTCTAATGCTTTAAAGGTTTTGTTTCCTAATGCAATAATCCCATATCCAGGAGTCCCGARTTATTGCTTCGAAACAGCAATGGCCGCGCGGAGGAGCCTTGGAGCTGGCGCTCTGCGGTTTGGGGGAGGCCCGGCCTCGTGACTCGTCCTTTCCCCAGGGCCCACTGACTATCCCACGGAATTCCCCGCCGGGCCCACGTTCCCAGGAATTGTTCGTAGCATCGCCACACGCCAGTCCCATTCCTTTTGTTCCACCTGTCCCAGCTTCACTTTCCTTTTCCCTTATGATCATGCCATGGAGTTTACGGCATTAGAGGGGAGCAGAGCATCCTTGTACAGTATTTTTGGAGGAAAACGGGAGAATTTGCCAGCACCATACAAAATGTCTATTTTTTGCTTCGTCAGCTCCACCCTTGACACAAGACTGTGGGGTAGCAGGGGTCTGTTGGCCATCTTTTTTCTGACTGTGAATCAGGGCTTGAGGAGCTACCCCCATTTTCCCACCTGGGCATTGCTGAACTTGTGCAAAGTCTTCCAAGGGACTCTGCCACCACCAGCGCCAGCTAAACCTCCCTCTCCTCGGGCCTCTCTGCATATCCAACGACATTTGCTCTCCAGAACTTCTGCCCTTCTTCTATATTGGTCTTCAAGCACTTTTTTCCAAGTGACAATCCCGAGGGCAGCTCCTCCTGAGCTTCCCTCCCCTCTCCTTCCTTACCTGCACAACTTTAATTTATTCTGCTTTACATGGCCTGGTTATGATCTGCAGTGAAAGTTGTGTCAGACATCGTCCTGTGGGCGAGGTTTTGTTTTTACCCACATGGCAATGTGTAGTTCTGACCAGCTGAGTTCTCCATTCCCTCCCAGKATCCATGCCACCACCCCATCCCACRGGCAGGCTCYGAAGGGRCCRTCGGAAAAGCTGGCTGCAGCAGGACAAGAAGGAGTCCAGCCTGAGCCAGCCCCGTGTGTTTGATGAGTGTCAGACTCTCACATCCAGGGAGAGYTGGGTGTTTTTCCTGGAGCACATTTTGAGGAGCAGCAAGGAGGAGCTGGGATGAGGCGGAGCAGGGACAGCACACAGGGAAGTGTCAGGAGCCACCGTTGCTTGGGAAAGGCATTTTTCCTTTGAAACTTGAATAAATCCCTGCATTTCCTTTGGATGAGCCGTGCCCCAGGGTGCCACACCAGGACAGATGTGACTTCCTTGCCCTCATGGGAGAGGGCTCCCAGCTGGAATTCCATGGAGGCACTGGGGCGTTGGAGCGGGGTGGCCATGCTGGGAGAGCTCCAGGAGCAGGGAGATCTCGCTCCCGGGAATGGAGGGGACTGTCTCCTGTGCCACAGGAGGGGCAGGATGGCTCCCCGAGGGACTGACACCGCCAGCTTCCCTCACCCCACCCTGCAGCCATTGACTTACACTGGATCCATCCCAAAGACTCATTCCAGGTCCTGCCTTTTTTACAGGTCTGAGGGACAATATTTAACCTGCATTTTTAGCAGCCTGATTTCAAAATCCGCTCCTCGCTGTCCTGTCTCACTCCACCCCTTCAAACTCAACTCACTTTTAGGTGTCTCACCTCCCACCTCCASCTTTTCCTGCCATTTTCCTGGTGTTCCCTCCATCCCAAAGGCAGCAGCTTTTCCCCAGCAGCTGAGTTGGGGTTTTTTCTGCCTTTCCCAAGCACACAACCCTTGCATTTCTGTTCTGCTGTGACCAATAGAGGTGAATGGCAGAATATTCCATAAAAAAACATCATTCTGTCTCCCAGAAGATGGAAAGATTTCCATTTGCTATAGGGCAGCAGCAGAATATCTGTGGGATATTCTGGCATGGGATTCTCAGTGCTGGGGAGCCCAGGTATATTTTCTTTGCTGGACATTGCAGATAACAAGCTTGGAGATCACTTTAAGGAAACTCATGCCCATTTTTATGTCTCAGGGGTCTGTGGAATGGTGGCAGCAATGGGAAAAAAAAAGTCTAAATGTTCCTTGCCACTGAGGAATTCTCATTTTGTCCCTGGGTTGTGCTGGAGTGAGCRTGGGCAGAGGGAGATGGAGGGGAGGGGGAAGCACGGGGCAGGGCGGTGTCTCCACTGATCCCAAACCCCAACCCCAACCCAGGMATTTCCCCACATTGTCCCCCCTGTGTGACACCAACCCCCAGCAGATCCCAGTCCCAGCAGCCACCTCATGGATGAGGACTGGCTGCATTCCTTGAAGCTTCCTGGAAGGCTCCAGAGTTCCCCCTGCATGCTCCATGAACCCTTGTAAATACAGCCATCCAACCCTTCYCCTCGCAGCTCCATTCCTAAAACCAAACCTGTAATTAATATATYGGTAAAAGCCATAGCCTGGTGTCAGTAGAGTTCATTGCACAACTCCCCACTGATTTTACTGGGTACAGGATTTTGGGGGCTTTGGGGTGTGACTTTTCCATAGGGAACCTCATTTTTCCATGCTGAATCAGGGCCATGTCTTGCCAGAGGTCTCCTTTCCCTTCCTAGAGCAGCCTTCCTCCATCTCCAGGTGCTGTGAAGAGAGATCCCTYCTTCGATCAGGAACTCTGGCAATTYAGGATGGATCAGGCCAAGCCATTCCATTATTTCCTCTCCCCACAACCTTCCCATCCTTCCCATCCAGCAGCACTGGATGTCTCCTACCTCCCTCCCTGGCTCCATTTATGTAACATCCATTTATCTCCTTTTTTTTTTTTCCCCTTCCACACAAGAGAGGAAAAATAGGGCTTTTTGCTGCTTTTACAGACAGGAGGTAAAAATAGAGCAGTAAAATTCTGATTGGAACCTGATGGCAAAAGCTGAAGGGAGGAGAAAGCAGAAGAATCAAAGACATAAAAATAAAAAACCCACATCCCATACTTTAAGGGAAAAAAACCCACCCCTATTTAAGTGCTAATTAACATACTTTAAAAAATACCCAGACTGCAGCAGAGCTGTCAGAAAAAGCTCTAAACTTCTGCTCCTGCCAGTTCCAGGAGGATTGAAGTGTCTCTCCATCCCTGCAGCTCTGGAGGAACAGGAGATTGCCATGGCAACTGCGGCTGTTCGTGACATGGGTGCCACCGTGGCAGAGCAGCTCCGGGTGCCAGGAATGGGCAGGCAGCTCCCAGCAGTGGGACAGGGGCTGTGCTCATGGATTTGGGGATTTTKGGGAATTTGTGAGCAGCTCTGTTGGCTTGGCCACAAAAYCTGTGTACAGTTAACGGGGATTGAGGTGCAGGGAAGGCTTCGGTGGTTTCTGCTGGGGAGAGGCTTTGGTTTGATTCAGGAGGGAGTGGAATCTGTTCAGCCTGGGCGCTGCCTGGCCTGGGCTTGCTGAGGACACTTTGGGAAGGTTCTCCACGTGGGGATGGAGCTGTGGTGGGAAGGATCTGGGTTCCTGCTCTTCACCCCTGATTACCACTGACCTGGACTTCAGCCGCTGGCTTTAACAGCGCCCCTGACTGCTGATCCTGGACAATCCAGCAGGAGGAATGGCAGGATCATGAATGCTGAAATCATTTGGAGGCCATGGAGAAGAGAATTCCAGTGGAATCCGCTGAAGGAACATTACTCAGTTAGAGCCATTCCTTAAGGACTGGAAATTGCAGTTGGGGAGTGTCCAGGCAGGACAAGGRCGGTGGCTTTGTCCTGTGCAGGGCCAGGAGTTGAGCTTGAGATCCTTGTGGGTCCCTCCCAGCTCAGAATGTTCCAGAAGGGTGGTGCTGGTGGCCCTGGAGAGCCAGATCCTGCTCACAGCCAGCTGTGTCACCCAAGGGAGCCTGTCCCCTCSACGAGCCTGGCACTGAAAAGGCATTTCTGATCAGTAATTTAAAGATTTCAGCCAGAAAGGCTTGGCTTTGTTAGGACTGTGGCCCTCAGGCTGTGGGAGGTGATGAGAGATCAAAGAGAGCTGACAATTAATTCTCCTTCACTTGAGCACCCCCAAACCCCCAGTGACAGTCAGGACCCGGCCGTAATCGCAGCACCAGGTCCGGGGTGAGCAGCAGGGTGGGAGCTTGGGGGACCCCCAGCTCCTGYCCCTGCTCCCTGGTGAGCCAGAGCTGAATATCTGGGTGCAATCCAGGTAATGGGAGAGATTTCATCCCGGGTATCCAGAGGTCTCACCTGTTGGCTGTGCCCTGGAAGGGCTGGGTGTCGGTCGCTTTAATTCCAAAAGGAGATGTACATGGGTACCCATCCTTGTCAGCYGGGGCTGAGAAAAGAGGGCTTTAAATCCTGAATTAGGGCAAGGGAGCAAGCAAAGCACRAGAGAAAGGATTCCCAAGGAGGCCACTCGGGGTGGCTGAAATCTGTTTGGATGAGCCAAGTACCCCCTGGTCCTTTTTTTCCCATGGAAAGCACAGGAATATTTTGTCCCAAAACYCCCAGTCTGCATCCTTCTACCTGTGCAGAAAGACAAAACATCTCCTGGGCCACCCCAGGGACTGGGAGGTGCTCCAGGTGACACATTCTTGGTTCAAGGGACCAGGGGACTCTCAGCTTTTCCCAGGAAAACTTGTCCCTGCACGTGCTGGGAGCTGGCAGGGCTGTCACCTCCCCAAGGTGACAGGAGCACAGCCCCCCTTGGCCCTGGAGCAGCGAGGGGAGCAGCAGTGGGAGGAATTGCATTAAAATCTCCCAGAATGAAGTCCCTTATTTCACCCACCCCTGTAATTCAAGATTTAGTTCCTGCTTTATGGATGAGTGTTTGAAAGAAGAAAAACCAACTCTTCTAAAATGAGAACCTGATGAAGTGWCTTTTTTCCTTGGCTCTGAATCACGCTCCCATTCCACTGATGAAGATGTACATAACTTGCTGGGTTTCAATCTATTATTTTACCCTCCTGTGCTCTGACAGTGCAATTACATTTCCCTGGCATCACTTAAAACCTGCTCCTTTCCCAGGAATTTAATGCAGGAAAAGAAAAGTTTCACAACATTTTTATCTCTTTATGTTGTCAGTTGCCATCAGGACTGGGTTTGTCTTTCTCCAGTTCRAGAAGGATGTTTTAGGCAGCTCTAGGAAGTGCAGGAGCTTCACCAAGAGCAAGATGRACAGAAAATATAACACCACTTTAATTGGAAGTGTGCTCTACTTACACCTTTCCAATGGCAAAAGCCTGGAAAGCTGCTTTAATCTGGCATCTTCACTATGAAATAATTGCAGCCCCTGAAGAGGGAGAAAGGAGAAAAAAGAAATCCTCTGGATCTAGAGCTCAGTACTTGACAATTTGATGCTGAAAGTACCACAGGGTTTTTTTTTTTTAAATTTTCTGTCAAGACAGACCAAAATACTTTGTAGCTTTGAAAAAAACCCTTTGGTAAATGAAATTGCCATTTTCCACCCAATTATTTTCCTGGCCTGTCTTTGCCATTATCCCAAAGCAGCAGCTGGATTTACCCCYCTTTAGGTGATGTCCATGTTCCACCTTCCCATTCCCAGCTGGTCTGGTCTTCATCCTCCACCAAGGAGMCCTTGGCCAGCTCTGAGGTGGCTCCAGGAGCCACCCTGTGGTGCCACCAGCACGTCCTGGCTCTCCTGGGGGCAGCCCCAGCTGGTTCAGGTGATGGTTTTGACACCGATCCCCAATCCCTGCCTCCATTTCTGCCCGAGGATGGGGTTCCACTCCTGAGCAGCTCTTGCAGAGCAGCTGAAGCTCTCTCAGCTCCCACAGCAGCTCTCGTTCCCTCAGATTTCTCTGGAGTGGGGCAGGAAGGGACAGGCAGTTCCTCGTGGCTCCAGGTCAATCAGGAATAACTCAKTAGAGTTAATTAGCTCTGAGTGGAATAAGGCCAGGATCCAGCCTGTTGCCCATTAATCCACAGCAGGATCTGAGGGATCAATGCCTCCTGRTCCATCTCTAGGAAGTTCTTCACTAATCCATGTGTCTCCTTTTC